TCAATACTATTTTAATAGGAATTATTTTACACTTGCGTGTACAGATGTATATGACGCACGGGCATGTAATCAGTAAGCTTTTCAATGGCAATGTCTGTTACTCTGACAAAATAAACTGAAATAAAGGACACACTAGGCGCGTTTTGGCCTTGGGGCTCCACCCCGAGCTCTACCATTTGTGCGGTCAAGTCTTTTGATTATTTTTTGTCCTTTTAGGTCGTCGGAGTAGATATGACCGACCTCGAGACAGCCTTGATGATGCTCCGTGAACAAAAACTCTCCAAGGAGAGTGATGTCGGTAGCAGGCTCGGCTTGCTGAAACTCGATGATCCGGATGAGAGTTCGGGTAGGTTAAGTCATTTGTTGCCCCAGTAGCGAGAAAAATCAAATTTTATTACCAATTTCCAGGAATTTCTTGTTACTTCCTGGTATTACTCACGAGTTGTATAGCAGATTTGCTTCCTAATATGTGGGTAACCGAAATTCGGAAATGCGTTTCAGTTTCGATTGGGAAATTTAAGTTTGCCTCCCAGATCAGCACGCAAAAACCCCATCCTTCTGTAATACGTGACCGGTGGTTTTACGGATAGTACGGGTGCAGCATACGAGGGCAAAGAAAGAATTATTAAAGACTTATTAATATATTAATGTTTATAAGGCCATCAAAAACGAACGTGATATCTTTCCAATATATATGTGGTAGATACTATATACAACGTACATTTTGGATGACCGAAAAGTGGCTTCTTCAAAAGCCGGCACTTGGTCGTGACTGAAATATGTTGGAATTATGCTGCGAGATAATTAATTTTGCAAGTGTGTTCCTTCCTCTGAGAAGTATATAAATAAAACTTTGGCTGAGCAAAAGCCTTCCCTGCTGTGTGGGTTGAAATCTCACCGAGTCTGCGAATTTTCATGATTGTGTCAACTGAATTATTCAAATCTTCCAACTCCCCCCCCCTAACAATTAAGTGAGCCTAGTAGTTATTCAGGTTGATTCTCTATGATTGCTTAGGAAATCCTGCCTGGGCAGTCAAATTACTGTGTTCGTTAGTGGTCAGGTAGACGTTCGTCAATATCCCCCGACGTAAAGCGGCAAGGCAACCAACTCGTGGCTCAATAGTTAGAGCGATAGACTCTGATCAAAAAGCTCATGAGTTCGAGGCTCCAGTGGACACCACTTGGGTGTAGATGCGACTGGCTGACGACGGCTAATAATCAAACAATGGCCATTCCAGTCTCTCTTGTCTTTGCCGGCAATAATACCTACCTATATTACTAGCTGTTACGGCCGTAAAGGTATCTGTCGAGACCGAAGACAGACTGGGACAGATGAGCTCCGTTAGCCGTCGTTGAACGTTCATCAATGAGATAGGGAGCTCTTTACTAACCCGAAACCAACCTGCAGATTTATTTTTGCTCAAACAGTTCCTGCGTCCTATTGTTTCCTGGCAGCCTACAAAACTTGATTGGGCAAGAATGATTAGTGAGGCCTAAAAATAGGTTTAACTTATAATGAAAAACTACTTCCTTCTGTTCGGTAGGCATACTTT